CGCCCGCCCCGCAGGGCCGGACCTGTGCGCGCTCCGCTGCTCCGACCCCGGCCGCCCCGGTACTTCCCTGACCCCTCGCGATCCCCCTCTCCTCGGGGCCCTGGGGAGTGGGGGGGCGGGAGGAGGGTGCCAGGCCGCTCCACCGTCCTCCCGGCGCCGTCCTCCAGGCCTCAACCACACCCCGCGTGACCGCAACCGGGTCTGTCCGGGAGCGTGATTCCTCCCCCGGCGCGGGTGTGGACTGAGTGCCCTTCTTCCAGAGGGTGAGACACGGAGCCCCAAAATGAACGGACCCGACTGGGAACGCAGCACTAGGGCTCCCGGACTTAACCTGCGACGCCAGCAATGGCATGAGAACCGGAATTCCCTTGCAGCCCACTCCAGGCAGCTGGACTCAGCCACGGCCCCGGGAGCCCTGGGCCCCACTCATCACTGCTGCCGTCAGTAACTGCTGGGGGGCGAGCACACCCCCAGGAAGTGGCTTTGAAAAAACCAGGAACCAGTTTTAAAAAGCAAACTTAAGCCCTGGCTGGTGTGTCTCAATGGATACAGCATCAGCCTGCGGACTGAAGGGTCCCAGGTTCGATTCCGGTCAAGAGCACATGCCCGGGGTGTGGGCTCGATCCCCAGTGGGGGGCTGCAGGAGGCAGCGGATCAATGATTCTTATCATTGATGTTTCTATCTCTCCCTCTCCTTCCTCTCTGACATCAATAAAAAAATATTTTTAAAACAAAAAGCAAACTTAAAAGCATGGAAATCCCTCAGGCAATTCAACCTACCTGTTTATAAAGCGGCATCAATGCCCTGGAAGGAAAAGGGAAATCACACGCATGCTGCCTGCTTTGGCAATGACCTTTACTGTCCAGGGGGCCCGAGTATTACAGCCCCCTTTCCAGCAAAACCCAAAGCACACCCGCCCATGCACAGTTCACACCAGTGTCTCCCCTAACTGCCTGGGGACATCGCTGCTTGAGGGGCGGCTGCATCTCCGGATCATTCACCAGAAGGAATTTAGTCCCCAGACGGGAATTTCAGATTTTCCTACATGATGCTGTAGAGCCAAAATCTTAGCTGGAAACCTGTGCTGTTCGGAGCAGAGGCGGAACCTGCTCTCTGTGGCCACTTCAGCCTGTAAGACGAGGGCGTGGCAGGCGCATCTCTCCCTCCGCCTCAGCCTGTGTTTATCCTTCCCTCCCCAGCCTGTCGGCTCGTCCTTTCGTCTTTGTCCCTCTCTCAGGATAACTTCCTCTTCACAAATCACGTGACAGACCGTTTTTATCATGGCCACTGAATACAGTTCTGTCCTCTCCGGTTTAGAAAGATCCCCATTTGACTGCCCGCTGCCTCCCGGCCAAGCCGGGGCCGCCCAGCCCCGCACAGTGCAGCGACGTGTGCGGTGACCAGGCCGGGCAAGGGCAGGTGGGAGCTCAGGCCCCCCCAGTCCCCCAGGCTCTGCGGTACTGTGTGGCCAAGAGGTACACCTCTGAGGACTCCTTCCTGCTGGCCTCGGGCTTCAGGGTCCTCACGCTCTGGAATTCCTCCGTCAGTCTCTTCTGTAACCGGTGGCTCTGACTTCCAGCCCAGGTTTTGCAGAGAAATGTGCCCCCGGGACACAGCAGGTCTGGAGCCATGTCCAGAAGCGACCAGCACAGGCCAATGAGCCTGTCGTGGTCCAGGCCCCGGATGCCTGTGGCGTTGGGGGCCATGTCACTCAGAACCACATCTGCTCTCCCGCCAGGAAGCAGCTCTTGGACTCTCTGCAGGGTCCGTGGGTCCGTCACGTCAGCGGGGCACACGAAAGTCGCTCCTCCCAGGGGGGCGATGTGAAGAAGGTCGACCCCGAGCACAAAGCCCACGGGACTGCTGGGATCTAAGGAAGAAACTGGGAATTAGTTACTTACACCGATTCTTCCCACAAAAGCACATGCCGCAAAGTCGTGAAATGGGACCAAGGAAAAGAGCTAATGTGCAGACTGGCAGACACGGGCCGTTTGCCCCTCTCCACATCCTGCACGTGCACACGTAGGGGAGTGCGGGTGCTTCCCGCCACATCTGAGAAAACCGGCGCAGAGAGGCCAGTGCTGTCCGAGTGGAAGGCAGACCTGAGGCCATACCCCGGACACGTCTCCAGTTCTGATGTCATTTCGTTTCATCCCGGAGACTGCTCACCTGGTGAGCGAAGATAGAAACTGTTACACTAGCGTGTAAAGTGCCCCTGGGTTAAACCAACAAGTCTGTCTGTGTTTTCAGCCAAATTCTTTCCATCAAAAAGAAGCTGAGATATGGGGGAAAGGGCAGATGTAGGGTAAGGGCCAAAAGTGGTCCCTGCCCACATCCGACTTCCTGCAGCGGCTGGCCGGCTCGGTGCTTTCCCCGAGCGTCGCGTTACCCCCGCAGGAGTGTCCACCGAGGCAAATCGCTTTGGGTGCAGTTGGGCAACTTCCGGGAGGAAGAGAAAGCAAGCTGCTTGCCCACGGACCCTGCAGAGTCCAAGAGCTGCTTCCACTTCTCCCCATGTCCACCGGGGCCTGCTCCTCCACACAGCCCGTCGGGGACAGGAACCACTGCATTTCTGACCCAAGTTCAGTCACTTGGTCAACAAGCATGGGAACTAAAAACAATGTTTTTATGCCAATTCGCAAGCCCCACGGCGCCCCACCCAGCCATGTGGCGGGGCTGCTGAATGAACCAGGCAGGCCCAATGCTCTACCTTCTGCGGGTCACTCCACTCCTCTACCTCAGTTTTCTTGTGAGGAAAATGGGCACAAATGCCCCCACTCTAAGGTAGCTGGGAGAGATGTTTGTGAACTGTCACAAATGTCACATAACGCCAGCGCACGCAGGACCCTCAGACTCTACGGATGGGAGTGCAGACGGCAAGAAGGCTCACTGCAGCACAAAGACCTGACGCTAAGAAGCGGGGACAGTCCCCCAGGACCTGTTCAAAAGGATGATGTTGTTTTCTAAGTTCTATGGGTGTTGGTTTACCTGTTTATTAATCAGGGGAACCTTTTTCATATTTTTAAAAAAACACCTTTGACAGCCCAGGCTGGTGTCGCTCCATCCCATACCTGGAAAGGCTGCAGATTCGATTCCCAGTCAGGGTTCATACCTGTGGGTTCATACCTATGCTGTGGGTTCGAACCCCGGTTGGGGTAAGTTCAGAAAAAGGCAGCCAATCGATATTCTCTCTCATATCCATGTCTCTCACCCCCGCCCCCGTCCCGCCTCCAATCTCCTCTCTCTAAAACCAATAAGCATAACCTTGGGTGAGGATTAAAAAAACAAAAAACAAAACCTTTGACAAAACCCGAAAATATGAAAGATAAAATCCTCGGGTTGAGCCTGAGTTGAGAGTCTGGAGCCCCAGCTGTGGGAGTGGAGCAGCCCCAGCGGGACCTCGGGGAGCCCAAGGGCTTCAGCAGCAGGACCGGAACCGGATGTGGTCAGAGACAGCGCTGCCATCCAGCGGAAAAGGCCCGGTAAGGCTCTCCGGTAGCAAGAGGGCTGCGGTGGAAGCGCATTCCAAAAAGCACGTGGGTACAGCGTTGCGTGTGCAAAGAAAGAGCTCTGAAGGGGCGCACACCACACACACGAGCGGGGTGATCCGAGGCAATTCTGATCACCGCACCTTTCATTCTGAACGTGTCGGTGTCCTGTCTTTACCATTATTACTACCAAACAACCACCTTCAGAAAGCGCCCCACCGCTGTCCTCGGGCCTCTGGCTCACGCTGGCCTACGAGCGGAGACCCACCTGTGCCTGCAGCGTTGACTCTCTGCACCGCCACCTGGCTCCACGCCCCAGGGGCCGCCCCGCAGTCCAACACCCGGAGGCCAGGCCGCAGGATCCGGTGCCGCGTGTCCACCTCCAGAAGCTTGAAGGCGCTCCGACACCGGTAACTCTCCACCTTCGCCGCCTTCACGAATGGGTCCTTCAGGTGCCGCGTCAGCCACAGGTGCTGGGCGCCCGTGCGGGCCTTGCAGTGCCTCGCCGCCGTGTGGAGCCCGTGGCGCTGCAGGGACGCGCACACCAGCCTGCAGCACCTGGCGAGGGACAGGGGCAGCCGGTTGGCCCCCCGTATCCACCAGTCCAAGCTTGCTGGGCCCGGGGCAAGCCGTGCCATTTTAGACAGGTAGCACCGGGCCCACGAGGGGAGGCAACGTGACAAAGCCAGTCAGAAAGCAGGCTCAGGTGCTGACCTGTGAGCCCCCACAATTTATGCTGAAGTCCCAACCCCTAGCACCTCAAAATGGCCTGGTCTTTAAAGAGGTAATTGAACTAAAATGAGGTCAGAGGGGTGGGCCCGAATCCCATAGGACTGGTGTCGGTATGAGTTAGGACACCCAGGCAGACGGACGGAGCCGGCCACCCACATGGAGACGGGCTCAGAAGAAACCAGCCTGCTGACCCTGGATTCTGGATGCTCCTCGGCCAGCACATCAGAATGAATTTCGGTTGTTAAAGCCGCCTGCTTTGCGGGGCCTCGCTACGGCAGCCTGAGTACTGACACAGCAGGCAGCTCCCTGTGGTCAAGTGTTCTTCGCCCTGGCGGGGAGCTCAGTTGTTAGGACATTGTCCTGATGTGCCCAAGTTGCGGGTTCAATCCCCAGTCATGGCACATACAAGAACCAACCAATGAATCCATAAATAGGTAGAACCAATGAATGCATAAATAGGTGGAGTCCATGTCTCTGTCTCTCTCTCTCTCAAATCAATCAATCAATAAGTGTTTTCCTCTCCTGAAGTTTTCTCCGTAAGGAAAACTCAGACATCAGTGACAGCACCTTCTTTGTATCAACCAGATCCTCCCAGTCCTGGTTAGTGGCACTGACATAGCGAAAGGAGCGTTCTTTCCCGCCTGGTACAGCTGTTCGCTAGATGGTGAGACGGGGAGACCGCCCCAGGAGGACGCGCCTTGCCTGGCTACCTGGTTCCCGGTAAGATAGTTCGGTGGCCAGAGATCCTGACCTTAACGTTTCTTTTTTTTAATTTTAATGTATTTTTATTGACTTCAGAGAGGGAGGGAGAAACATGAGAATCATCAATGGGCTGCCTCCTGCACGCCCCCTACTGGGGATCAAGCCTGTAATGGGGCATGTCACCTGACAGGGAATGCAAAGGTGACCTCCTGGTTCATAGGTCAATGCTCAACCACCGAGCCACACCTGACCAGCACATTTCTTAACGGAACGGAATCAACTGGTGTGAATAGTTTAAGGGCACGCTCCAAGCCTCTTTGGAAAAGTTAGGTTTTAACAGTTTAGCAACTGCCAAGAGTCTGCATTTAACTCTCAGACCTACAAATAGGTTTTGTACTTTCATTATGTTTTTATTACATTTTTCTGATGATGGGGGAAAAAAGCTATCATTACACACACACACACACACACACACACCCGCTCCAGGCCAAAGCCTGTTCAACACCAAGGCATGTTCACACCATCTCAGGAATCAAAGCCTTCAAGTGCCATAGCCTCAGGGGAGAGGGCAGACGGTCCTGGTGCCAGAACCAACGGGGGGAGGGGGGCGGGCGCTGGAGTTACACAAACAATCCCCCTGATCTGGGCAGCGGGCCTCTGACCGCCTCCGTCCACCTCCTCCGTCCACCTTCCCCGTCCACATCCACATCCATATCCCGGATTCGGCCAATCAGCCCTTCCTTTCTCGGCAGCCACAGCCTGGAGGCCTGGGTGCTCTTCACCAGCTTCACTTCCACCTGCGGGCCCCTCTCCTCTCCACCTGCGGGGCCCATCACCTGCCCCTCCTCTTCCTAAAACCCGGTACCGCTCTCTGCCCGCCCGTCGCTCCTCGGAACCTCGCCGACGGTTTGCTTCGCGTCCGCAGCCCCCCATCGCCGGGCGGACCGAGTCTGGGCCAGGACGGAGGCGGAGTTGGTGTCCGTCCGGACGAGGACACCCGGGCGGCCCCCGGCCACTCCCGCCTCCCGCGCATGCAGCAGGCGCCGC